TTCCACTGCTTATTGTGGATTGCCAAGTCTCTTCCCACTTCCCTGAGGCCATTGATAACGTCTTACATTTCCTTGCCAACCTCCAAAATTAGTTCTCTCTCCCTAACCGCAAGCTCCAACTTCTGCCACCTAACCTCATCTCTTGGCCTCTTTGCTAATCTTTTCTAGTTGGCCTTGATGCTGGGTGAAGAGGAGGACAGGCCATAAAACAATAGTTAAGGCAGTCAGTGTTCAGGTTACATAGGCATTGTTTCAGACTAAAAATGCCAGTTTCCTCCTTTAACTAATAGGGTACAGGTTGGGTGTGAGGTAATATGCTGTGAAGAAAGAAACTCTGGATGGGAGGTTGTGGAGGAAGGGGGTAGCATAGGGATGAGCTCCTAAACTAGGAATTATTTTGTTTTTAGTTGCGAATGTATGTCACAAAATTGCCAAACGAACTCAATATTCTTTAATACACTTACAGTCATTACCCTCTGTTAGGCTATGAATGTTTACAGTACAGCAGGACTCTCATGATTTACCCAGAAGTTTTGTTAAGCAGTGGAGTTGGGATTAACATTTAGGCCAATATGTATAGAGAACTTTACTAGCTGTTCTAAATTACAGGACAATATAATGTACAACTCTCTGAAAACATGTAAAATATTGAGAAAATAGGCAGTTTCCTAGAAAAATCAAAATAAATTCAAAAAGGAAGTAGGGAATTTAATTAAGACACATTTTTGAAGAAAAAATTTAAATATATAAAAAGCAAGGTATAGAACATTTTTATGATATGCTACCAGAGGAAGGGAATATAGTATATATATCTACATGCTTGAATATTTACAGACTGTGTCCTCATAGCTACACAAGAAACTGATAACAGTGGTTACCTCTAGGGGAAGAAACTGAGGGACTTTCAAGGGAGGACTATCCAGTTGTATGACCCTTCATGTAGTTTGAAATTTTTACCATATACATGTGTTACTTTGTCAAAAAAAATTGCCAAAGATCTATCCACCCCACCCACTCCCAAAGGGTTGGATGCTTCCACAGGTTATTCATTCAAGTCTTCAAGGAGCAGATAATTCCTACCCTATATAAATTTTTACAGAGAGAGAAAAGAAAAAATTTCTAATTCTAGTGTCCCAGTGTAAACATGGTATCAAATCTGACAAACACAGTACTAAAAAATAGAACTATATGTCAGTCTCACTTATTAATGTAGTTACAAATATCTTAAACTGTTAGCAAATCAAATCTGACAAAACAGCCTGGCCAGCATGGCTCAGTGGTTGAACTTTGACCCATGAACCAGGAAGTCAGGGTTTGATTCCCAGTCAGGGCACATGCCCAGGTTGTGGGCTCAACCCCAGTAGGGGGCGTACAGGAGGCAGCCGATCAATGATTCTCTCTCATCATTGATGTTTCTGTCTCTCTCTCCCTCTCCCTTCCTCTCTCTGAAATCAATAAAAACATATTNAAATAATAATATCTGACAGCCCCAGCCAGTTTGACTCAGTGGTTAGAGAGCCAGCCCTCGGACTGAAAGGTCCTGGGTTTGATTCCCACCATGGGCACATACCTCGGTTGCAGGCTTTATCCCTGGCCCTGGATGGGGCTTGTGCCGGAGGCAACCATTTGATGTGTTTCTCTCACATCGATGTTTCACTCTCTCACTCTCTCTCCCCCTTGCACTCTCTCTGAAAAGCAATGGAAAAAATATCCTTGGGTGAGGATTAAAAATAATAAAATAAATAAATAAAAATTAAAATCTGATGTAATAATAATATCCCAGGCTTAGTCGGTATGCTCAGTGGTTAGAGCGTCAGCCCTTGGACCAAAGGGTCTCAGGTTCAATTCCAGTCAAGGGCACATACCTCGGTTGCAGGCTTGATCCTCGGTCTGGTGGGGGCACATGTGGGAGACAACTAATCCATGTGTCTCACATCATCAATGTTTCTCTTGTGTCTCTCCCCCTGTGTTCCACATTCTCCCTAAAAAAAGGAAAAAGTGAATGGATAAAATATCCTTGGGTGAGGATTAACAACAACAAAAATTTTCAAATAAAATAAATCGTTTATAAGCACTTAAAAATTAAAATAATAATACCCCATAATCAAGTAGAATTTTTCCCAGAAATATAAAGTTCATTCAACCTGAAACTAATACAATATGGTATATGAACTGTACTGAAAAACTAAAAACGTTTTTTAATAAATAAATAAGAAAAAAAGAAAAATAAATAAAGTTTGTTTAGAAGCTGTATATGTAGTGATGATAATTGATCATTTTAACAGGTCAAAGAAAAACACCATCATCTCCATGCTGAAAATTCAACTCCATTCCTGAAAATAAATACATTAATAAAATAGGAAAAGAAGAATATGTTGGGGCCCAAGACTAGCTGGCCCCAAATATCTCACAGTGGCATATTGATTACACTGAATTAAAGTTAGTTGACCAGCAGCCAGTGACCCTCCCTTTTCTCCCCTGTGAAAGGTGTTCTCCCTGCACCTAGAAGACACACCCCTATTGCTAGAGTTAAACAATTCAGAGCCAAAAAGTCTGTATAATCAACTCTTATTTCCTCTTTTCTAATTTACTACTTTGTTTAAATTTCTCATTAATGAATACCTAAACTTTGCTTAGATTCCTTTCCAGTGAGCACTAACTTTCTTTCTCCTGTCAATTTCTCACAAATTTGTTTCTTTATGTGAAAATATAAAAAGGTGCCTTGTTCTATTATTTCTTTGGTCCTTATTTTATAATTTGAGCACTGTATTTGTGATTCTTTGGTGTACAGGTATTGAATTGCTTTTTCTCCTGTTAATCTACTCTTGAGTCAATTTTATTTTATTACTAGTCCATCCATAAGAACTAAAGAAAGTTTGGGGTGGGGAGGAATTCTCTGCCTGCCCAGTGGTTTTGGCAGGCCAGCTAGGAGAATATCACTCTTGGATGTTTTTCCTGAGACAACTGCAGCTAAGAGGTCGTGGGTGCCTGACAATAGAGCTAACAAACAAGTAAGCTTTTCTTATCTTACCTTGTCAGCCCCCTAAAACCTTTATCTGTGGGTCCCATAAAAAAGAAAATGATTAAAAATTTTCCTCTTTCTAAATTTAGATTAGCAGGAGAAAATATTTGTGGAGCTAGTTCCTTGGACATAGCCCCTTTGGTAAAAACTTGGTTTTAGTATTCTTGTTTCTATTGATAATTTTCCTCCCAGAGATGGTCACTGTTTTCATTCATCTACTTTCTCTGCCAGCTAGAAGATGCATATGCACCTGGCAGACAGCCGAATAAGCCTCGGATCCAAGCTTAGAAAATCTAAACCTCAATTCTGTTCAAAGCGAATAAAACACATGATTTCCTGTGTTTAGGAACTGCTGTAAAAAAAAAAAAAAAAAAAAAAAAAAAAAAAAAAAAAAAAAAAAAAAAGGGCC